AGACCAATTAGGTGTAAACCCCTTTTCAAAAAATCCTTTGTATTTACTGATTCTTACGAAATCTCCAACTTGAAATCTTTTTCTAGTCAATACTTTTTTACATTGTGTATTGTTAATGTATCTCTGTAATACAGTTCCTTTATTACTGTGATTAATTGTAGCTGGTGCTTTTCCGACTGTTCTGTGATAAGCGTGATTGTATTCGTAAACTTTTTTGTCGAGGGTTCCATCATTCCAATTATAATTTCCTTTTAAACTAAACTCCTTGTACAAGCTTGTCTTGAGAGTTCTTATAAGTCTTTCTACGATTGAGGCTTTTTTCGTAGAATATGTAGAATAATGGTTAATATTATACTGTTTGATAACTTTTTTAAATAAATTATTATAAAATTCTTTTCCCATATCAGTTTGTAAATTTTTTGGGTAACGCCCCCTTGCTAATAATGTTTGAAACTCTTTAGACACGTTTTCTTTAGTTTTTCGTTTGAGGGGAAATGTCCAAGCATACTTTGAGAAACAATCGATAATCACCAATATGTATTTGTATCCAGCATTAAATTTGGATAAAACTTGCATATCTATCAAATCTGCTTGCCAAAGGTCATCTATATCCCTTAACAATACACTTCTCCGGGGAAAATTCACTCTAGCATTCTTATGAATTTCATTAACGACGTCGGCTTTGCTCATAATGCTTGTTCAATTTTCCTTCGAGTCCCTTCAAAGCAATGTCTTTTTCAATATCTTTTATACGATCAACTAAGATCAAAATTAACTTTTCAATATGTACTAAATTGTCAGAATTCTTCTTAACAATTTTATCAACATAGTCTTTACTAACAATATCGGGTAATTCAGCTTTATCTGAAGATGAGATTTTAATTACTTCTACTTTAAAATTATCTACGCCAGTATCATTTTTTTTCTCGAGATTCATGTCTTATATTCATTAGAATACTTAGGGTAATGATGATACTAAAATAGATTTTATTCTTTTATTATACCGGCTTCCTTTAATTCTTCAATAATTGATACAATTTCATTATCATGATTGTTGTTACCAGCGCTTTTAGATGCAATTAAAAGTTTCAGTCTTTCAATCAACTCATTTGGATCATCCCAATAAATATAATCTGTGTTACTTTTATATTGTTTTAGTTCAGGCAAGTATCCTCCGCTTTTTAATTGTGGTAACTTTTTGACTAAATCTGTATTGCGTTCATTTAGTTGAGAAAATAAAGGCTTGATGATTGTGCAGTATTTTAATCCTTTATCACCTTTTAATTTTCCGTTCGGGTCAAAATCACGTTTGTGTGCGTTAGTGTTAATTAACATTTCTTTGTATTCACTTTTGTCTTTTTCGGTCACAATCGTAAGATCAGGTTTATTACGCATTAGAAGTTCCTTTAAACCAGCGGTTAATTCATACTTCTTGTCATTGATGGTAATTATGTACCTTTTTTCCGCATGAGAAGCATCAGGTATATAAGATAAACTAACAGCACTATTTCCCATCATAAGCTTTTTATTTTTGGTTTGAATGCCAAATGGTACATTAAAATGTTCATACATATCCATCATGTCTTCTTTCTTTAGAGATAAAAGAGTGTCGTTACCATTACTTTCGTTTAATAAACGTTTACTGGCATCGTTAGCATATTCATAATATTCGGAATGGTCACTAGAATCTGCGTTGATTATGTCTTTGAAATTTTCATAATCTGTAGAAGAGTTCAAGTCCTCACTACCACCAGTTTCATCTATTTTGGTTGACATGGTGAAAGTGGGGATAGACTTTTTATTTTTGAGCAATGTTTCTAGAGGTTCTGTAATAGATTTAAAGACGTTTTTGTATTTCAGATTAGCTTCATCTTCATCACATTGAATCATTTTTATTTTATTCTTTATATTGTCCACCGATTTAACGAGTTGCTCTTTTAAATCTATTTCCATTGTACGGATTATTGATAAATCTACCAATTTAAACGAACACTCGACTGCAAGTGCGGTATTTAGACAACAAATTGCTTTATATGAGGATTTTATAAGTAAATAAACGTGTCAAATCCTTGTCTATACCTTCCCATATTCATTGCACAATCTTTATTTATTAATAAAAAGCTAAATTGATCTTGCCATATAACAACACAAAGCCGCTTAAATGTAGACCAATCTAAGTCTGTATTTACATGCTCGTTGTATATATGTCTTAAATTAATATCATCTTGTTTGAAAATAATCAACACATTGACGTTGTCCCTGAGCAATTGTTTAGGTATTTTTGAATAAGTTTGAGATAAATAAAAACAGTCTATCTGTCTGTGTCTCCCCATAGCAAAATAATTACGAATATTCATTTGGTTTTCACAAGCGACATCATCAAAAATCATAATTGAATTTGTCAAAGCATCGTTGGGATGAAGAACTTCCTTGTTCTCGTTAAATATAAATAGTTCTGCCCCTGGAACACCTTCCATAACTTGTCTTAAAAAAGTATACTTTGGTTGAAATGCTGTCTTTGAATACAAGTAAATATGTTTAAATTTCAAACCATTTTCATGTAACAATAGATTCAACATAATGTTAGTTTTACCACAATTGGAAGGACCGCATACTATGCACCGGATTGTGTTTGGTAACAGCGAACTATGTTTTACTTTTTCTGAATAATTTTTTACTTTAATATTAGCTACTTCTAAAGTTTGAGTTTGTTTTACGAACTTCATCGTGAAGTGAGAGGGAGTTGAATGTTTTAGTATTTATATACTCGTCAATCAGAGGAATTGAAACTATGAACAAAACAAATGCGATAAGTATAATATAAATTCTTTATTTAAATTTAGTACAAGCGTATTTACAAATCTTAATCTTACAAATATTAAAAGTAAAAAACATACATTAAAAATAAAAAAAAATATATAAACATGAAAATAACGAAAAAGTAAAAATTCCTTATCGAATTACAAATATAATATACTTTACAGCAGGCAAATATCATTACGAATGTTAGTGAAAGATAAATTAAAAAATTGTTTTGTAATGCCCCCAAGGTAAGGTGTTGACTTTATTTACTAGTATCTGCCTTTTATCATCAGTATTGCTTAAAACCGTTTTATTAAGCTCTTGAGAGTAAAGTACGTGCTTGATTGATTTAATTAAATTCATTTTACATTTTAAATCTTTGACGTTGAATAATGAGTCTTTGTATTGTGATAAAGTAAGATTCTTAGTAACGCACTTAGAAACACCTTTAGCTTTATTGATTCGTGTTTTAATGCTGTTCAGGGAATAAAGTTTTGCTCTAAGACCTACAAATTCTCTAATCACATCACCCCCAAGTTCGTCTTTAAATAAGCCGGGGATTTTTGCATTCACCCTTTCTATGCAGTATGGATTATTTAAATCAAAGTTACTAGTATCAAATTCCGACAAATTATTTTTGATATCTCTGTAAACGTCCTCTGTGAATATCAAGTATAGGAGGCTATCAGTATCTGTATAACAAAGTTTTGCATTCTGATTATATATCTTTTTAATAAAATCGTAATGAAACTTGTATAGATGCTGTTTTGCGTATTCTAAAACTGAAAACCCAATGTAGATAGGTCTGTCGAGCACAATCTTTTCTGGAGTAAATTGAGCAGCTATAAAATTTTCTGAGAACACTGAAATATTTTTTAGATTTGGGCGAGAAATAAGTGTTTCAGCATCAAGTCGCTTTTTTGTTAAATTATATTCATCTTTCCAAGTTGTGATCAATTTAACACTTACTTGTTTGCGTCTATTTTCAATAGTTTTACCGAAAATATTTACTTATTCATATATATTTATAGTTAAACACATTTAATTACTACAATACAGGCCAGTAAAAATAATGCTAATAGTAAGTACTATTAAATGAGGGTGGGCAATTTTTGAATTCTTTGCGAGTTGTCTTTATGTAATCTGTTAGATGTGCCCAAGCTTCAGAGTTGACGTTCGTTCTGTTTTTTATAGTAATAATACTATGACGCCATCTATTTATCGGTGCAACGTTTTTGATCTCGTTGCATGAATAAACTTTTAACTCAACGTAATGAGTGCCAGTTTTATTGTCGTCTGTTTGACGACTTATCCCATTTGCTAGCTTTCGCGTAACGTAAGAGTAAATTGGCGTACCCTTTGTTGAACCTGTCGAGCACCCTTCTTCTTCATCACTCTCGCTGCCGAAAAGCTCAGCCGTCGCCGCCTTCATGACGGGGGTGATTGGGTTGATGACGGTTTTCCTTTTCTTAGGCGCAGTGGTAGTGAACGGCTCACCTGTCTTCTTACTTGTCGAAGGGTCACATCTCGAATGCTTCTTCGAGGATTTCGAGAGCTTAGGCTGCACCGTCTCGCACTCGTCTTCTGACAGGAATAAATCTTGTGCCAAAGACCTAATAGAATAAAATATATGAGTAGTACATAGTAAAATGATTGAATAAAAACATAAATTGTTTGGTAATAATATCTTGCGACAGTGAACTCACAAAAACTGATCGAATGATTAGTAAAACTAGGACAACGATAAAATAAGCACAGGTAAAATATTAAACATTTTGGAATCGAGTATGCGCATTTGTACTTGTCACTAATTTTGCTCCCCAGCAGGATTCGAACCCGCGACTCTTCATCACAGTAAATAGATTCGGATTTGGACTAAAAAATAAATAGTCCGAAAAAAAATAATGGAATAAAATAGATAATTAATTATAATTGATGAATAGTTCGAATAGATGGCACGGTTATGTAACATAAATTTATTTTAGTACTTAAAATGCACTTACATTGTTCTTAGTTATTTGCAGTGGTTGATTTGTTTTTTTGAGCTGTCCTGTTGTCTTGTAGGAAGGTGATCTGAGCAATAATCATGGATAGAGAGGACCGGTCTATATAGGCCTTCATACGCGTCACGTTTACCCATATTTGTAATTTGTATATGAAGCAAAATAGGCAAATGCACAGTCAACATAAATGCAAAAACAAATACTCAGTATGATATGCAGCAATCATCGGTAAGTTAATTCTAATATCGATTCTAATTCTAAGTGGATAAGGTAGCATAAAAATAAAATGTGAAATATTGATTGGATATTTTGCATTTGTAAATGTTTTTCTTTGCTTAATAAATCGATTGTATAATTTCAACCTTCTTCTTTATGCAATAAGAACTATAATTTTGTCTTACTAAATAAATGATAGAATTGAGTGTGCGATGTATCATTTTGTATTATCATTAATCTTAATAACATAATTTTATTGAAAATATACCTGCTTACAGAATTTTTCATACAACAATTCACTTAATACTACGAATACAAAAGTTACAAAATTAAACCCCGGCAACGAAACATTGGTATCAAAACTACTAGTCATATCATATCATCAACACTGTTACACGTCCCACTGCTGGGCATGGGTGTTCATCATAAAAATCTTTATAAATATTGTACTACATCACACTTGCTGCATCATGTTCTATATGATATATTTGAAGAGATCTTTTAAAGGTATGTTGAAACGAAAGGTTCTTATTTTTTAGACTATATAAGTATATGATGTAGATACCTAAATAATCGGCATAATTGAGTTCAATGTAACGATACCTCATAACTTGGAATCGTTTTAGCAGTTTTGGCTCAGTGATAGAACAGATGAATACATACACACTTAGATACATACACTTAGGTATGCTGCTGAAATCATAACCCTCCTGTTCGCTCCGCTGTAGTCGAGTAATCATAAATGGAAGTAAACACAAACGGAGTCATTTTTACTCTCGGCGTCGAGCACTCCATATTAGATTTATTGATGAGTATTGAATAAAAAATACAGTAAGTACGATGTTAATTTTGAACCCTATTAGCACTGCCTTCACTCAATATAAACGGGTAAATTGGGAGTAAAATAATCATTATTAAAAAACTTATTTTCTTGTGAAGTTGTCATAAAATGTCGGTAAGTTAACCAAAATTTATTTTTAATTTTCTTTAGATTAAATTTGTTGAGAAACCTGTACAGGTTTTATATACTGTAAATATAATAAATAAATAAATAATTTTAATATTAACAATGAATTGAGGATGTGTAATTAATACTTACTTTCAACTTGTTTTAAGGATTCCGGAGATCAATTATTCAACTTCGTGCCCAGCGCTGCATCACAAAGAGATTTATCTCCAAATGGAACGCGGCTCGGATTGGGACGCAAAAGAAAATCCGAAAAGACTACATGTTATACATATATAAAAAAGCGACTTCGGAGTGGTGCGAGCAAGGTTATTAAAATAGAGATCTATGATACTGATCAAATACAGAATAGTGACCAAATGTGTAAATGTGAAGCAGATTTGTGTGTGCAATACGCGGTGAGAAACATTTTATTGGATGACATTTACCACTCAACAAA